CTGCATGACCGAGTCTTAACATGGAAATGAACTTAGGCAGGCGTCAGCCTAAGATGTCACTACTGGTGTGACCATGAGTATAAAAAGGCACGACGTTATCCTCTTACTTGTTTTCAGGAGACAGTTTATTGTACATGACATGAGTGAGGAGCATGTGCGTTTAACTCCTGAGGGAGCTGAATGCATGCATTGTGAGGATTTCTTATTTTAAAGCTCCGTTCAGTCCATCCCTATTTACTCAAGGGATATGGGATGCACATTTGGGTGGAATGCTGTCTTCTCTTCAAGCAAGCTGGATGAGCTAGGTATGATGCATTCACAAGATTAACTACAAGAGACAGGTAAGGAGCTTTTTCCATTTTGCTCTCTCCTGAGGGATAATAGTTAATGTTTTCACACGAGTGCTCAGCACTCGAGGGAGATACATTCGTGTCCGTTTTCAGTGATAGAATCTGATGTTTGAACTATTGCGCTTGAGGTTAAATGAGTACTTTTGCTGATGTGGTCGCAGTAATTGGTTCCACCTGGGCTTGACTCTCTCTTAAGGGTTGAGAGTTGAGCGCCTGCACTCCATGGTTTGGTCTCACGGCCATCATTACAGTAAGGTGGGATTGAGAGTGGGGGTTGTAGGCAGAGCACTAGCTCCTCTTGTTGACTCAAATAATATTATGGCTCACTATTGTTATGTATCTAATTTGAAAGAATTACAGACAGAAAAAGTGTAGAATTGTTATTGTAATTGTAACAAATAGGAGTTGTGGAAAGGTATACCCTGCGTCAATAAAAGATTAGCTCTGGTTTGGAGAATGAGACAGATTTTGTGGAAAACAATGTCTGTCTGGACATAACTATCCCACTTCTGTGAGCCTTCTGTTATTCCTTTTGATCTCCATGCTGTGGATGATCATCAAGGGAAATCCTTGGTCACTGCTCTTGAACTAGAGCATAGTTAGATCTCCTTGTGCTGTATAGAGTTGTTCTAATAGAGGCATATGCTCCTCTGAACTCCATCAACTATTGTGTCAGGCTGCTAGCCCTGTTATGTAGCTTTCTTGACAGGGGTAGGATGTAGTGTATTCGTCATATGAGCTCAGCCATAAGCTAAGAGGTTAGTCTCTCTATGAGCCTCCTTGGCTACTGCGAGCATTAATTTGTGAGCTTGGGGCTTAGTTAGGTGTTCTCTTGATTTAGAAAGTCATCATGTTGAGGCCTCCACTCACAGAGCTCGGTCAGGCAGTTTGCTTTGTTAGGCTCTATGTGAGCCTCCTTGGCTACTGCGAGGGTTGCTGGGCCTCCTCTCGCTAGAGAGTTACAGGGGTTGGACAATGAAACTGAAACACCTGGTTTTACAACACAATAATTTGTTAGTATGGTGAGGGCCTCATTTTGCATCCAAATACAGCACCAATTCATCTTGGGAATGACAGATAGAAGTCCTTCACAGTGACCAGAGGGATTATGAGCCGTTCCTCTTCCAGAACAGTGTCCAGGTCACTATATGATGCTGGTGGACTCGCTCCTCCAAAACACCTCAATAATATTCAGATCTGGTGACTGTGCAGACCATGCGAGATGTTCAACGTCACTTTCATCTTCATCAAACCCTTCTGTCACAAGTCTTGCTGTGTGTGTTGGTGCATGATCATGCTGATACACGGTTTGAGCATCAGGTGCTCATGATCCTCCAGAAGGGTTTGGTAGTCCTCGGCAGTGTCGTGTCCATCAAATACAATCAGGATTGTCATGATATTGGAGCTCAAACCATCACTGATCCACCCGTGCTTCACTCTGAAGATTGGCCGCCAGGCATATAGATGTGAAACCTCCAACATTGGCCAGTGTTTCAGTTTCATTGTCCAACCCCTGTATCTTACTGAGGTCTCCGCCCTCTTGAGCTCTGCTAGGACAGCATTTGTGATGTGTAGGCTGTCTGTGAGCCTCCTTGCATGATGACCTGAGTGCGGGGTGTAGTTAGGTCTCCTCGTGATTTAGAGAGTCGTCATACTGAGGCCTCATACTGAAGTTGTTATGCTCTCTTGGACCCTCTTTGGTTACTGACCTTAGTGTGGAGTGTTGCTTGGCCTCTTCTCATTATTATATTTTTACCTCTTTCTGAGCTTTCTCTGTACTGCCCTTTGGGTTAATGCATTGCCTCTTGTTTGTGGCATCCACTCTTCAGGGTTGTCTGAACAGAAGTTCTGAGTGTTAGGCTCTATGTGTGTCTCCCAGGATTCTGGCCTGAATATGAATGTAGTTAGGCTTTCTTTCTTTAGTTTAGAGTCATCCTATTGAGGCCTCAGTTCTTGCAAAACTCTGGTCTATGATGATTAAATGGAGTGAAATTAAATAGAAAGCAACTGGAGACTTTTGCTTCTCAGATATTTTTGCTCTTCTTAAAAACGTGAGGAGGCCTGCAACACCAAATGCTCAGAATATCTTCCAAGGGGGGCTCACAGAGGCCTACCATTCATAATGCTACAGTAAAAAAAAAAAAAAAAATCTCTCAGCAAGAGAAGGCCTAACAACACTCACGGCAACCAAGGAGGCTTAAAGAAAGCCTAACAACTTAGCATGCAATGGCCGAGCTCTGAGGGCGGTCTAAAAGTGCCTACTATGTCCTACACCTAGGACAGCTCCCAGGGATGGTCACAGAAAGCCTAACTACTTGATATCGCTATCTAGGTGGAGCTTTGAGGAGCGGAGGCCTCTCAACACTCTATAGCGAGAGGAAGCCTGACAACGCTCCATCTGAAAGCAGTAACTAAAGAGGCTCAGAGATAGCCTAACTACTCAGTACTACTGCCTGGTCGAGCTCTGAGGACGGAGGCCTCTGCATCAGGACTCTCCGAAGTGAGAGGAGGGCTAACTATGTCCCACCCCCAGGACAGCTACCAAGAAGGCTCACAGAGAGCCTAACTGCGTAAAATCGCTAGCCTGTTAATGCTGCATCTAAAAACACTAACCAATGAGGCTCATACTGTAGAGAGCCTAACTACTCAGTCCTAGTGAGGTTTAGCTCTGGGGATGGAGGCCTCAACATGACGACTCCCAGAATTAAGAGGAGGCCTAACTACGTCTTAGACTCATGACCGTTTACAGAGGCTCATATAGCCTACTACCTGATATTATTATCCTGGTGGAGCTCTGAGACCTCGACAACTCTCTCTATATGACTCTCAATAGTGAGAGGAGACCTGACAATATTAATGATAAGGCTTTTTCCAAAATGTGATACGGCTTTTTCCCTCACTGTGAAGATCTGGGAAAAAAGAAGACTTGCACAAGCTGGTGGATTATGCCCAGAGAAAAAACGGTCATCTAGGCGGCCTCAAGAGGTCGCACTTATCGAGATTCCCCGGCAGATCTTACCCTGTGGTGCAACATAACGTCTAATAACTCGTCATATAAAGGTAGGCGGGGTTAGAGCGCTCAGAAACATTGTCCTCCTCATCAGCCACACCCTGCACAGACTGGCCTGGAGCGAGGAATGTGGTCGCTGCTGTATCAGATGCCGTGAGAGAGACCGCATCATCCTGCAGCTCGCTCTTGTCAGCCACCAACGAGCGAGAGATACTCTCTCAAGCATATCGGCGAGCTCCATCTACCTGCCCCACGACTTCAGTTTCCTGTTCGCCGGCTGCAGCAGGTCCTCGCAATGCACGCGTACAGCCCCTTCAAAGCCTAAGTGTGCATGTTCCTATCCCATACACATAACGCACATATCGTGTGTGTCATCAAGTGTCAGAAAACGCTGACACCTATGAACACACATTCTAATATTCGCAATGGTAGTGCTGGCCATATTATAAACTTGCCTGTTCAGATCGCACTTTCAAAAATGCGGTCGCCTAAATAAATTAAGAGGATGACGTATTGCACAGGTGGCCTTTTATGCTCTGTTGTTTCATCATACGCTGCTGCCTGCCAATGCCAAGTTAATTGTCATGTTCAGATTTCCACTTCAGACACCAGTTAACCTCAGAGCATTCCACATAGGTACCCCTAGGAGACACAGTGCGAGTTCCCTTTCAAAAGGGAACTGTGCTATGAACATTAGAGCCCTATACTGTATATTTTTTTTTTCCATTTAATAAATAATTATAACTTAATCACTTAATGTGGATAAAAATGTGTTGGTAAACTATTTGTGTGTTGATTTTTAAGTAAAGTCAAATTATCTTTATTTATGTAGTGCTTTATACAACAGCGAATGTTTCAGAGAAGCTTTAAAGTAATAAAAAGGAAATGATCAATGATTAAAACTTCATCAAATATGAGACCAATCAAATTCCGCATTAAAGCTGCTTTACAGAAGACAATAGTATTATTCTGCTCAAGTCAGTTTTGATTAAATTCAGTTCAAAACTGTATAAAGTTAATCAATTATGAAATTAGTTCAATTCAGACAATAGAACCATTATTCAGCTCAATTTAGTTCAGTAACATTGCCAATGTTGCATAATTAGTTAATTATGAAACAAAGTTGAATTAGCTAGAAAGCAGCTCATTAAAGTTCTGTTCTCATTCAACAGTCCAATATATAACATTGTTGAATTTTAAGTGTCTTTTAAGCCCAACTAAGCAAGCCAAAGGCGACAGTGGCAAGGAACCCAAACTCCATCAGGTAACAGAAATGGGTTTTCCGCTGGCTAGTTCTCCTTTTGCCCAAAAAGCATATATATATAAAAACACTGACCAGCTCAGGACAGCAACACTGACTCAATCAATGGCTTGAGTTGGGCTATCAGTTTTTCAAACCATGGGTGACTAGGAGGGGTGTTCAGGAAAGCAGTTTGAAAATAATCATTGTTGTTTTATTTGGTGAAGTGAAATTGTGGAAATTACACACTTCTGTTTAACATAAAACATAAATCAAAAACTCTACTGAGATATGAGAAAGCAACCTCTGGTAAATAACATGTTCCTTTGTGTTGACATAATGCTGTTTGGTTTTATTCTGTGTTTGTGTGGCTTCACTGACAGTAAATTATGTCTCTCAGTTTCAGGCATCTTCCCTGGCCACAGCTCATGGATTTCCTCACGGAGTATCCCTACAATGATACTTATTATGACAACGGAACTGGGGCCCTCAACAGCACAAGCTGTGAGGCCAAGCATCAGTATAACTACTATGCCATGCTCCTGACTCTCCTCATCTTTCTCATTGTCTTCGGCAATGTGTTGGTGTGTATGGCAGTCTCCAGAGAGAAAGCGCTGCAGACCACCACTAATTACCTCATTGTCAGCCTGGCGGTGGCAGATCTTCTCGTGGCAACCTTAGTTATGCCCTGGGTGGTGTATCTTGAGGTAAGACATTTTACATTTTTTTTTTGGAAGTAATAAGTTTTTTCTTTGGAAAATAACCTCAGACTGTATACCAAAAATTAGCCTCAAAATTGAGGATATGAGCCATAATTCAAAGTGTATTGCTATTGTTTAAATATGTGCTGTTCAGTTAATTTAATTGTGTAATCATTAAACAACACCTTCGGGTTCCAGTGGCTGCAGTTAGCTGGCACCTGACAGCGTTTGGTTTACAATGCTCATGGCACCACAGGGCTTTTGTGTCAGCTTTGTAATTTCCTACTCCCAGAAAGCCGATTGATCTGTCCTTAGTCCTTGAAACATAATGCATCTAAGACAATACATTAAACCCCCACAAAGGTTTCACAGGGAATAGGACTAAATTAGTTTTAGCAATGCATCAAGTAGGGCCATTTCAGTTTTTCAGATATTTTGCCACATTGAGGTTTTCTATAAAAAAGACATACATAAATCTGATATTAAAATTCTGTCCGATAATTTCTTGCTTCATATCATGGCCGACAAATGATAAATATATATTGTAATGGATATGCATGGTCACCAAATGCTTACATGCTCTCGAAATACAAAGGGTTGTCTTGTGGACATTGTAATGTTTATAAATGTTAAATAGTAAATGGACTGCATTTATATAGCGCTTCCACAGACCCAATGGCCACCAAGGCGTTTTACAATTTGCCTCACATTCACCCATTCACTCACTCATTCATACACCGACGGTCTAATAAGTTTAGCTACACTACTATTGCGATCACTGCTGCAGGTCATCTGATAATGGTATATTAACCTTAACCCTTAGATTAAAGAAAATATAATTACAACAAATTAATATAATATTAAAAATCAGTACCTTTTTAGTATCGTTTAGATACAATTATAGTTTTGTCAATAATTTAAATTTGAATTATTTCCATATTTTTCATTTGAATTTAAATGAAAGATTTCATAATTGTGTGGGTTTTTTTGTCATATTTACAGTGGGGAAATATGTATTTGAACACCAAGTTCTCCCACTTAGAAATCATGGAGGGGTCTAAAATTGTCATCGCAGGTGCATGTCCACTGTGAGTGACATAATCCAAAAAAATAAATAAATAAAAAATCCAGAAATCACAATGTCATGTATTTGTCTCTTGTTTTGTGTACAAACACATAGCCCAAAACAACCGGCCATGTGTTTGTACACAAAACAAGAGACAAATACATGACACACAATGTATGATTTTTTAACTATTTATTTGTATGAGACAGCCTGAGGAAATCAATGTTAATTTTGGTACAGTAGCCTTTGTTTGCAATTACAGAGGTCAAACGTTTCCTGTAGTTTTTCACCAGGTTTGCACATACTACATGAGGGATTTTGGCCAATCTTCCACACAGATCTTATCTGTATCAGTCAGGTTTCATGGCTGTCGCTGAGAAACACAGAGTTTGAGCTACCTCCAAAAATTCTCTATTGGGTTTCGGTCTGGAGACTGGCTAGGCCATGCCAGAGCCATACAGAGCCACTCCTTGGTTATCCTGGCTGTGTGCTTCGGGTCATTGTCATGTTGGAAGACCCAGCCCCGACCCATCTTCAGTGCTCCAACTGAGGGAAGGAGGTTGTTCCCAAAAGTCTCGCAATACATGGCCCCGGTCATCCTCTCCTTAATACAGTGCAGTCGCCCTGTCCCATTGCAGAAAAACACCCCCAAAGCATGATGCTACCACCCCCATGCTTCACAGTAGGGATGGTGTTCTTGGAATGGTACTCATCATTCTTCTTCTTCCAAACAAGGTTAGTGGAATTATGACCAAAAAGTTCTATTTTGGTCTCGTCTGACCACATGACTTTCTCCCGTGACTCCTCTGGATCATCCAAATGGTCATTGGCAAACTTAAGACGGGCCTTGACGTGCTGGTACTTCCGTGCCATGCATGATTTCAAACCATGATGTCTTAGTGTATTACCAACAGTAACCTTGGAAACGGTGGTGCCAGCTCTTTTCAGGCCATTGACCAGCTCCTCCCGTGTAGTTCTGGGCTGATTTCTCACCTTTCTTAGGATCTTTGAGACCCCACGAGGTGAGATCTTGCATGGAGCCCCAGTCCGAGGGAGATTGACAGTCATGTTTAGCTTCTTCCATTTTCTAGTGATTGCTCCAACAGTGGACCTTTTTTCACCAGGCAATTTCTCCGTAGCCCTTTCTAGCCTTGTGAAGGTATACAATTTTGTCTTTAGTGTCTTTGGACAGCTCTTTGGTCTTGGTCATGTTAGTAGTTGGATTCTTAATGATTGTATGGTGTGGACAGTTGTCTTCATGCAGCTAACGACCTCAAACAGGTGCATTTCTAAACAGTCTATGATCTAAACTATAGACCTTATGCACCAGAGAAATGTAAGGCTGGTGAAGTGGATTTACTTATTGTAGAGTTAACAAAAGTTATCATGAGCATTGCAATGTTTATCATAAGCATTGTAAAGCAGATGTCTTAACAAATGTCGACCGGGAATTTTTTTACGAGCAGTTCATTCATGTAAGATCGCTGTGAAAATACAGACCGGAAGTCAAAAGACAACGAGTGCAACGCTGAAAAGGGGCGGGGCTACATAAGGTCTATAATGCGTGTCACAAACATTTTTCGAGAGAGAGAGAGCTGCAAAAAGTGGAGAATGGTGGACTTCGCCTTGTTGACAACCAATCTTGCGAGTGATGCGGTACCAAGTCCCGAGGACTTTTCTATCCCTTCAGAGGTGTGTGTGTGTGTGTTTGTCTAAAATGAGGAGTTATCCACCTCCGCAGAGCCATCTTTATTATGGAGGTTTAAGGGGCACGTAGATCTATGCACGTAACGATTTTTTTCTAGGGACGAAAGCGGGAAATTTATAATTTTCAAATGCATTTATAGTGTCTATATAAACCACTATATATTTTATAATGATATTGTAATTATACATGTAGCCTACATTGATATGTTTTAGAATTACAATTACTGTAGGCTAATATATGTAGCAGGGCATTCAGTTAATTTTGAAAGGACCAGTAATGGCCATACCACCCACTCCCCTCCTGAAAGAGGGGGGTTTCATGACCCTTTAACAGGCATTCTTTGCTGAACTCCTATTTGAAAATATATATATAATAGTGCTGAGAATCTAGAAAATGTGTGCATTTTTGTAGCACAGACAGAATTTTAATGAACCATTTGATCCACAAACCACAAATATTGTCAATGCTCCTCCAGTTTAATTTAATTATACAACTATTTGAGATGCCCAATTTTGGCTCATCAGTAAATATTAAATTACCAATTCATTGAGATATCAATGAAACAAGTCTAACAGGCATTAGAAAAGACCATAAATAGTTTTTCATGGAGCTACAATTTTGAATCCATAAAAATACATTTCCCACAATGAAGAATAATAATAAACCACGTGCCATCAAACCTTATAAACTCTCTGCATAAATGTTCATGGGGCCTAAAAATATCATCCAGATTAAGTTTCACTATAACCTCAGATGTGCAAAAACGTCACTGGTAGCACAGCATTATTAAAGATACAAGAGAAGCCTTATCATGGTAAAAATGAAAGCATGCTGACATTTTCCTTCAGTGGTAACTTTGAAATTCTTTGTCTCAGAAAAATTGGCTTTTCATGTACGGCAGGTCAAGAGAAAAGGAGAGACCCACATGGCATCATTGCCATGTCGCTTACCAATGTCCATCTCACTCCACATCAGTCTGTGAAAATGGCCTTTGTCTGCACTTTGTTGGGTCAGCTCAGCTGCACTTTCACCCTCCATAAAAATATTGTGGCCAACATATTGCTCACGGTGAATGATTAGAAGGGTTTATTGTGTTCTTGAAATATATGTTACAATTAAGCCCTAAAGTATCGCATAACTCAAAACAGATATATGAATGGTTATCCTCCATTCTAGGACAGTGAAAGAAAGCTTCATTTACTTTAAAAAAGAAGCTATTTTTATTGGAAACCATGAAGAGGACTATCAAGGACTGTGACATTCTACATGTGTCTACATGTCTATAGTTGATGTCTTAGTTGTCTTAAGAGAGCCAATTTAATTATACAACCATTTGAGATGCCCAATTTTGGCCCATCAGAAATGATTTAATTAGCCAATACCTTTTGTTTGGTAGCTGGGAATAACATAGTCTCTTGAAGTATGAATTTGGCTGTTGAAAAAAAAAAAAGCATCGAGATAGTAACAGGACTTTTTTCAGACATAATATTTCATATGCCATGGTATTACTATCTGATGCAATCATTATACCATGATGCTGCCACAAAATGTATTTATTTGACATTTTATTAAAGAGGAATAGCCCCTTGAGATGAGCCATCTCGTTTTCGAGGGGGGTCCTCGATTCTAGATTCAAATAAATGGTCCACCTTTGGTCTAATAAAACTTAGGTACCTAGTTAACCGTTCTCTGAGATTTGTTTTCATGATAATAAAATGTAAAGAGTTTAATCTCTAAAAACGATTTAGTGTATAACGCTAGTATATGGGGGCATTTAATAAGTAAAAAGAAATCGCTAGTTTATACCACTAACAAGGCTCAAAATAGCCCCACACTAACACAGTAACATAATGAGGGTCCCTACATGCAAAACAAAGCATTGAGAACTTTGTTAGTGTACAGACCGTTTAATAAGAAGATACTTTATAAAGAGTCCACTTTGTGAATGGTCGACAAGGTACCAATGCTTTATTAGACCAAAGGTTCATTTTGCGCCGGAGTTCTCCTTTAAGGCAGCTCTGAAGGCAAAAGGGGGTCAAACAAAGTATTAGTATGGTGTTCCTAATAATCCTTTAGGTGAGTATATTTATATATATATATTAGGGGTGTAACGGTTCACAAAATTCACGGTTCGGTTCGATACGATACACTTGTGTCACGATTCGTTTCGGTTTCAAATACAGCAAAAAGAAAGAAATGGCAGAGAAATTTCCTTGATTTATTTTTTTAAAT